AATCCTGACACTGGTATAGCCAAAATAGGTTTCATGATAAACCCGTTGGTGGATAAGGCACTGATTTTGGCTATTACTCTATTGGAGAACGTCAACCACATAGTGTATAATTATGCAGCTTTTGTGGACACGTTTAGAAGAAACTTTGATCCCTCAGGCCAATGTAACTAAATCTCTTCTACGTTTAAAACAGGATAATATTTCTTGGTAGAGTCTGCATTAGAATTCCGTACTGTGGCTGCTGAAATAAGGTGGAACAATCAGGCGTTCATCAATGTATTTATGAACGGCTTGTCTGATACCTTACTGCATGAAGCAGCCACTTGGAGCCTACCAGAGAATTTGGAAGACCTCATTACCAATCTGTTCCATAGTGATGAATGCTTGAGACATAGGTTAAATACCAGAGATAGACCTAGAAGGGCATCTGTTACATTAGCACTTCCTTTAAGCCCTCTGCCTCCTGTCACGTATTCATCCGCTTATAGAAATGTGGTTAATGACATTTACTGTCCACACAGGAAAAGTTGTGCCGAGCAGCAACCTAATCCACAGAAGGGTTAATGCTGAGCAGCAATTATGCAAATGAAACCTTGGAACTGACTTTGAGGTCAAAGGCCGGTTACAGCCTATCAGAAAGAAAGGAGGGGTATTTAGGCCCAGTTCTCAGCCTGCTCAGTGCCCTGTCGTGGTTTCCCTTGTGGTTGTCCGAGAGCGCGTTCCTGTTTATAGTTTTCTACCTGGTTTTTGACTTTGGCTTTGTTTATTGACTTCTCTATATTCTGGTATCCTGACTCCTGGCTTTCCTCATCGCTGTGTCCCTTTCTGTGTTCCCTGACCTCGGCTAGTATTTTTGACTATTCTTTGTACGTTAAATCCGGCCATTCTAAGGACCGGTAATACGTTACTTATTTGTCATCCGTGCTGTACAGTTCTACGTGCTGGATCAAACAGTAATCCTGACATTACGACATGGCCATAGATCCTGTAGAACTGTGTCAGCACATAGCTGCTTGCGAGAGGAAATTAGAGGAGAATGATCACCGCATGGATCAATTCACTCAGGCTTTAAGTACGCTTCTCGCTAGAACGGAGCATCTGCAGCCTGCAGCGTCTCCTCCTATAGCACCTCTACCCTGTGTACCTCCACCCACTGTTAATATGACTCCTAGCATCTCCTTATCACCATCCCTACAGTTTGATGGCAATATCCAGGAATGCAGGGGTTTTCTTAATCAGGTGGAGTACCATTTTGAGGCCTCACCAGGGTCA